ACAAAAAGGTGATGTGCACCTCATCGAGTGCACCCCCCCATAAGCTGCATCTCCTTCGTGTTGCGCGAATCAGTAGTTCGGTTTTCACGCGCTGATATCCGTAAACCGTGCCACTATCTTTCTTTTCCCCAGACCTTCCTGCGTCGGGCACTCGTTTTGAATCGAGCACTGCGGTCGCACACCTCCCGCCTCCCTCCTCTCATCCCTCGGGGTTGCCTGTTACCCTGCTTCCTATCTCGTCGTCCTGCCTGGAAGCTCGATGTGGGGGCTGCAATCTGCGAACCAGTTGCCAATATCAGGGGCTGCTGTGGGGTCCAGCGGGGTGACGTGCTACGCAGATTCAGATTCGACCTCGCCATCCCTGTGGGGCTGCGATCTGTGAACGTGTCGCCACTTTCGAGAGCTGTTGGGAGTCCAGCGGGGTGACGTGCTACGCAGACTGCGAAGCTGTCGCCACTTTCGAGGGCTGCTCGGGTGTCCAGCGGCGTGACGTGCTACGCAGATCCAGATTCGACCTCGCCATCTTTGTGTGGCTGCGATATGCGAAGCAGTCGCCATTTTCGAGGGCTGCTGGGGGGTCCAGCGGAGTGCCGTGCTACGTCTATGCAGACGTAGATTCGACCTCGCCACCTTCGTGGGGCTGCGATCTGCGGAACTGCTGCCACTTTCGAGAGCTGTTGGGGGTCCAGCGGGCTGACGTGCTATGGCTACGCAGATGCAGATTCGACCTCGCCATCTCTGTGGGGCTGCGATCTGCGAAACTGTGACCACTTTGAAGGGCTGTTCGGGGTCTCGCTGAGTGACGTGCTACGCAGAGTCAAATTAGATCTCGCCGTCCTTGGGGGGCTGCGATCTGCGGAACTGTCGCAACTTTCGACGGCTGCTGGAGGGTCCAGCAGAGTGGCGCGCTACGCAGTTTCAGATTCGACTCTCCATCCGTGTGGGGCTGCGACCTGTGAAACTGTCGCCACTTTCGAGGGCTGCTGGTGGGTTCAGCGGAGTGACGTGCTACGCAGATTCAGATTTGACCTCGCCATCTCTGGGGCTGCGCTCTGCGAAACTGCCCCTTTCGAGGGCTGTTGCGGGGGTCCAGCGGAGTGACTCGCTACTTCGCCATGTGTGTGGGACTGCGATCTGCGAAACTGTCACCCTTTTCGAAAGCTGTTGGGGGTGGTCAGCGGAGTGACGTGTTACGCAGATCCAGATTCGACCTCGCCATCCCTGTGGGGTTGCGATTTGCGAAACTGTCGCCATTTGCGAGGGCTGCATATTCAGATTCGACATCGTCATCTTTGTGGGGCTGTGATCTGCGGAACTGCTGCCACTTTCGAAAGCTGCTGAGGGGTCCAGCGGAATGACGCGCTCTGGCTACGCATATTCATATTCGACCTCGCCACCTTTGTGGGGCTGCGATCTGCGGAACTGCTGCCACTTTCGAGAGTTGCTGGGGGCTCCGGCGGAGTGACGTGCTATGGCTACGCAGATTCAGGTTCGATCTCGCCATCTCTGTGGGGCTGCGACCTGCGAAACTGTAACCACTTTGAATGGCTGCTGGGGGGTCCAGCGGAATAATGCATTATGGCAACGCAGATTCAGATTCGACCTCGCTATCAGTGTGGGTCTGCGATCTGCGAAACCGTCGCCATTTGTGGGGGATGCTGGGGTCCAGCGGACTGACGTGCTGAGCAGATCTAGACTCGACCTCGCCACCCCTGTAGGGCTGCGATTGGCGGACCTGTCGCCACTTTCGAGGGCTGCTGGGGGGTCCAGCGTGGTGACGTGCTATGGCTGTACAGATTCAGATCAGACCTCGCCGTCCCTTGGGGGGCTGCGTTCTGCGATCTGCGAAACTGTCGCCACTCTCGAGGGTTGCTGGGGGGTCCCAGGCAGAGGTCCTGACGCCCACGACATGCCAAGCCCGCGCCATGATCCGCGGTATCATTGTCGACGCCAGGTGCAAGGATGAAAGAACACATGGACGACTTTTTTTTTTTTTTTTTTTTTTTTTTTTTTTTTTTTTTTTTTTTTTTTTTTTTTCTTTTTTTTCTTTTTTTCCTTTTTATCCTTCTGTTCCTCCTCCTCCGCATCCCCCTCATCATCATCACCATCGTCCCCGTTCTCCCCCTCCGCCCTTCCCCTCCTGCTCGTCCTCCTCCTCTTCCGCTGGCCGTGCGTCTTCGCGAGGCTGTCCAGGGCGACGGCCGTGGACAAAAGCCCCCGAGGCTGTGCGACCCGGGCCTGGACTTCCCGGCCCCCGCGGCGCCTGCAGGCCTGACGGCGCGCGTGCGGGCGTTTTTGGCCCCCGTAGTGAAAACTGCAGGACGGAAGCGGAGAACTGGCGGGCGAGCTCGGCCTCGCTGTCTTCTCGCACTCGCTATAAACAGGTTTCTTCATGCCGAGCGCCGCGGCGACATGGCGCAGGCAAGGGTGCACCTTTGGCGTAGTGCCGACGAACTCAACACTTCCTGTCTCCTCCCGCCGCGGTCCCGCCGCGGTCTTTCTCGTCCATTTCCCCCTGTCATCTTCTCTCTGCTGTTGCCGCGCTGACTGTTCGGCCCCGCTCGCGTTCTTCTCCTGCTCTTCGGTCCCACCCCCATGTCCTTTTCGAGCCTGGGCCCTCACTCCTCGTCCTTCTGTGAGCCGTGCCGCGTGCGCGTATCCCACGCAGCATGCTCACCATATGACGGCACCTGCACTGTCATTATCCATGCAAGTTTGGGCCAATTCCTTTTGTCCCTCGATGCGCACGGGTTGGGTACGTCAAAGGGTAATTTTTGGATGCGCGTGCGTGCAATTGCGCTTGCGCGGTGTGGAATTCTTCACACTAGCCGATCTTTCGGGCTACGAAAATAATGTAAGGGTTTGCGAGGCCCGTGTGGGCCTTTTCCGTGCATGGTCCTTCAGAATTTTGCGTGCAAGTTTTGAGTGAGAAAATCAATCCGGTTTGAGAAGTTCGCGGAGGCCCCTGGAGCTCTGCATCCACCGTCGATTCCTGGAGTTGGCGGATCCACCACAACTTTTGAACCTCACGGCCTAGGACCCCCCCTGACGTCCCAGAGTTTCGGGCCCATAGCAGCGTGTGGACGCGCAAAACACATCTCCCCACATGCCCGTCCCTTCTCCATCAGGCTGCTGGAGGGCCTCTGAACATCAGCGGCAACTGGTCGATGACGGTCATGGATACGGGGCAGAACTTCAAGTACACTTGGATTCATTCCCCTGGCAGCAAAAGCTTCGAGGGCAACCTTGTTGGAACTGGTGTCATATCCCAGGCTAGTCTGAAGGGCCGCGAAGTCCGCTGGACTGTGGGGGACGTGTGCTGCTCGGCAAGGCTCCATGGGGACGGCGTGAGCCTTGTCGATGGGAAGTACTGGAAGCAAGGGAGCAAGTCTATGCTGGGGAGATTCACTGGACAGCGGCGAGGCGATCTAGGCTGCTCCGTGGGGCGTTCGAACCTGCGCTATGCCTTCTTCTTTCGGTGCGGTCGCCGAATAGTCGTTTTGGAAGCTAGCTGTGAGTATTCGGGAGGCAAACAGTAGGCGGATCATTATGATGATACGATGATGAGATGGTGATGGTGGTGGTGTTGGTGGTGATGATGATTATGATTGTGATTATGCTGCTGCTGCTGCTGCTGCTGCTGCTGATGATGATGATGATGATGATGATGATGATGATGATGATGATGATGATGATGATGATGATGATGATGATGTTGATGACGATGGGGATACACAGGTTTCGCCCCGCGCGAGCGCCGCTGGTCCGCCGGATCGCGAAGTCTATCTTCGCAGGACGTGGGGTCACATTACAGCAGCGCGAGTCTGTAACATACCGGCCTTCTTCGGGCGGGGCTTCCGTTAAGGAGTGCGCCCAGGAGGCTTGAGACGCTGGATGATTCCTCATCTGATGGGGGCGGTGGCGATGTCCATGGCCACTCCACGATCGGAATTCCACCGGTTTTCAGACCCGGGATTCATTGTTAAACGATTCCTTAAGCAAAGCCCTCACCGTGCCCGTGAAGTTTGATCCTGGCCCCCAGAGGTCCCTAGGGGGGTCCTGGAGGCCCTGGGCCCCCAGAGGCTCGAAAAGGGCCAGCAGTAACCAAGAGCTTTCCCACGCACCAGACAGTCTCCCTCCTCGAGATCCCACGGGGCAAAAGGCAAGACTTAGCAAGGCAGGGTGGCACAGCTTTTTTTCCGCTGATTCTCGGAATCCGGCCCAGTCTCCCGCCCCCTGCGCCCGCGCGTGGCTGCACGCGCATGGCCAGCGCAGGGCCTGTCGAAGGCGTCGCTGGAAAGCTGGACCAGGTCTCTCCGGACGGCCCGTCCTCAATCGGAGCCTCGGCTGCACAGCGCTCGCAACATCTAGATCTGGCAGGTTCGCGCCACGTCCATGCGGCGGCGGCGCTGGCGCGGACGGTGGAGGTTGGAGGCCACAAGCGGCCTGAAGCTGGCTAATCCTGAACGATCTCCGCTGTCGGACAACGGCGATCGCGTCGAGCTTGAGCGTTCTACGCGGTGTCAGAGCCGAACGTCCACGTCGACACAGCAAGGACCAGCGGGATGCCCTTTCGGGCAAATGTGAGCCCTTTCATGCACGATGAAGATTTGCATGATGAAGCGGCACCAGGCGGGCGAGTGCTCGCCTCTACACGGCTTCTCTCTGCAATCCCCTCTCCTCCTTTCCAGCACCCCACGTGTCTACCAGGAAGATGGACAGGCATGGCGTGGCACGGTGAGCTGGATCAACACGTGGCCACGGTCCTTCCAGCGCTCGGCCCTCGTGTGGCAGGCACGCTGGCCCTCGGCATGTGCATCGAGCGCGTGGTTTCCACGGGCTCCGAAGGGGCATCCTCCCTGAGTGCGTGTGTGCGTGTGTGTGTGTGTGTGTGTGTGTGTATGTGTGTGTGCGTGTGTGTGTGTGTGTGTGTGTGTGTGTGTGTGTGTGTGCGTGTGTCGTGTGTGTGTGTGTGTGCGCGCGCGTGTGTGTGTGTGTGTGTGTGTCTGTGTGTGTGTGTGTGTGTGCGTGTGTGTGTGTGTGTGTGTGTGTGTGTGGCGCCTCTCCCTTTGAATCTGCTGCTCGCGCTTGAGGACCCTCTGCGCTGCTGGATCAAATGGGTGTGTGACGCCTCTGGGGGCGCTCAGATCCAGCGACTTTTTGACAACAAGATTGTGATCCACTGTCGTTGCACCGCCCCTGGTGACCGTTTTGTTGCCGTCGAGTGGCGCACGTGGGCGGGACTCCGGCCCAAGGGCGGGCTGACCATCGAAGGCACCACCTATCCGTCGCCACAAGCCTACATCAAGGCGGCCACCTTCAATGTGAGGGGCTCCAAGGAGCTCGCGCATGCCAGCATGGGGTAGCGCCGTAAGACCGCGAGGATAGAGGTGATCAACCACCAGCTTAAGGACATGGGCGTCCACTTGAGTGGGGCGCAGGAGACGAGACTACCCTGAGGCGCAGTGCCCATGCCGAGTCGCCCCCGCCGTGAACCTGCTTTCGGCGCGGCGCTCCCAGAGTATAATTTCTGGGAGTTCAACCGTGCGAGGCATCAGCGCGGTTGCAAACCTTTCAGACGAATGTGCGCGGAGCTGGCGCGAGAGCCACATTTTGGAAAGGGGCCGCCCTCCATCCTTGAAGGTATTGCAACATTTTGCGGCGAGTGTGCGCGCCGCTGAGGCGAGAGCAACATTTTGAATTCCACCCGGCTTCCATCCGTGCAGCTCTTGCTTGCAAGCATGACAGACGAATGTGCACGGCGTTGAGGCGCGAGGCGCATTTCGAAAACCACCCGCCCGCCATCCGTGAACCCCTTGCAAACTTTGAGACGAAATGCGCAGCGCTGAGACGAGATCGACATTTTGAAAAGGAGCCGACCTCCATCCGCGAAGTTCTTATCATCTTTCAAGACGAGTGTGCGCTGCGCCCAGGCGAGCGGCACATTGGAAGCAACAGCTATGCATGCGTGATGCTCTTGCAAAGTTTGAGATGCATGTGCAGGGTGCCAAAACGAACACTGCATTTTGAAAACGCCCCCCCTCCATCCGTGAAAAGGTGGCACGTGTGAATATCATAGTTGCGAGGGAATCTCATGCGACATGCCCGGCCCGCCCTGCTGACGCGTTTGGGGATGCTGCAAGGGGGGTATCTTCAAGGGACAAGTGTGCAGGACTAGGATGATGATGACGATGAGGAGGTGAAATGATATGGTATGATGGGGTATGCTATGATATGGTAGGGTATACTATGATATGTCATGATATGATATGATGTACTATGATCTGAGAGGAATGCTATGATTTGGATGATATGTGACGATTTTCGATTTGAGATGAGACGACATACAATGAAATTATATAAACTGATTTCGTATGCCATGACATGGTTTGACATTGCATGCTATGGAATTGTAGGATATGATATGGCATGTTATGACATGTATTGATATGATTTCGCATGGGAGGATGTGAGATGATACAGGGCTTTGAAGGTGGTCAAGTTGGACCTACTCGGCCTCAACCTCGGACGCCTCGGAGGCGGAAGCCTCCGAGGCCTCTCCCGCCACGTCCTCTGCGCACAGGCGTGCGCCGAGCTTCGCCGCCGAGGGCAGGTCAGCCTCGGTGAGGCCAACAGCCCGCAGCGTGCTCGCCTTCGGCCCAGCCCCAGGCGCCGCCCCAGGAGGGCCCCGACCAGGAACCCGACCCCCGCGGGGGCCGACGGGAGGCCCCCCAGGCCAACAGGACCCTCGGGCCAGGCCCAGGCGGCAGGCCCCCAGAGGCCTCGGACGGGTCGTCGCGAGGAAGCCTACGGGGAGTCAACATTTGGGCCAGGCGGACGAGGACCTCAGTCGGGACCGCCACAGGTGCTTCCAGCACAAGGTCCTTCACGCCAGCCTTGTAGGACGGCCATGGTCTCGCGCGCAGCCGTCGGAGCTGAGACTGCAATCCAGTGCCCGCATTCTCCCCGAGGCACGGTCGCTGAAGGGCCCTCGTGGGCAAAAGTCCTGTCAAGTAGGCCCCACACCCGCAGCAGAAGCAGACAGCTCGGTCATCTTCGCGCCCGTCGCGCGCAGACACACGAGCGAAGAGGAGCAGGTTGCCATTGAACCAATAGCCTGCGTCGGCAAACTCGTCCCAGCCATCGGCCGAAGGGCTCCTGAATAGAGCTGAGGGGATGCACTGCGGCTGCATGCCGGTGGCAGGGGGGGCCTCTTCAGCCTCTCCTCGCGCCGCCCAGAACTCACCAACATCATCGTGATCCCGACCCACCTTCCCGTCCCCGGCCCACGCATGCACTTGGCCAGTCCATCGTGCGGCCTCACAGCAGCTGGCGTCGAGGCCGCGCCACAGATGCATATGCTCGGCTCCGACGCCGTGCAGACTCCCACCTTTCTTGGTGAAATCGTCTGCAGCGTCATTGCCGCGCTTCTATCACAACGTGGTCACATCACTATGCACTTCGGTCATGCTGCAGCGGACCTTAGTCTTCTAGGCCGCGATTCTTTTCTGGAAAGCGCAGCCCCAAACGGGGCCCACATGTTGGTCCTGGTGCTGTCGGTCCGCGCTCCAGCCCCAGGACCCCGATTCAACGTCTGAACAGTGCCTGTATAGCCACAGTAACTGTCAAACGGAGGCCACGCGACCTGCGTCAACATGTGCACAGCGAAGTCCTCCCCGTCCCTCGCCGTCTGTCTGGCGGGGGGCGACGTCCAAGGGGACGGGAGGAGGAGGAGGAGCGGGAGGAGGAGGAGCAGGAGGAGGAGGAGGAGGAGGAGGAGGAGGAGCAGGAAGAGGAAAACGAGGAAAAGGAGGAGGATGAGGAGGACGACCAATGCCAAGCCAAGACGCGTTAACGATGTTGCTGTAATTTTGTTCATTGCAGGAAAGCCCCAGTGGAAAACAACTATCTGATAATCCTCAAGCGTGCCCGAGTGGTTCCTGGGATGTCAGCGTTGTGAGTCCACGTGGCTGTTGCGTCATGACAACACCATTCTTGGAACTTCAACACCGCGAATCAAGATAACTGTTGTGTTCTGAGAGTCCCAAGTCTTGGCAGAGCACATATCCTTGGCTTTCGACCATGCAAATCCTTGAAGATGTTGCAAGCTTTGAGAACGAATGTACGCGGCGCTAAGGGGATAATCACATATTGAAAACGAGAAGAAACGACCCGCCTTCCATGCTTGAGACTGCTGCACACTGTTAAGACGAGTGTGTGCGGCGCCCAAGCGAAACGAACATCTTGAAAACGACCCGCCCTCCATCCGTGAAGCTGTTGCAAGCTTTCAGCATCAATGCCCGCGGCGCTAAGGCGAGAGCCACGTTTTGCACGGCCCGCCCTGCATCCGCGAAGCTTTTGCATGTTTCGAGGCCTCAGGGCCATACATGGCGAGGACGTCGCGTGCGAAACGTCCGGCTCGACCTGCTGGCACGTCTGCGGGGTGGGACGAGGAGGAGTTGTTTGTAAGGAAAAGGGGCGGAGGAGGAGGAGGAAAAGTAGGAGGAGGAGGAACAGGAGGAGGAGGAGGAGGAGGAGGAGGAGGAGGAGGAGGAGGAGGAGGAGGGAGGAGGAGGTGGAGGAGGAGGAGGAAAAGCAGGAGAAGGAGGAAGCAAAGGAATACAATCAACGTGCCGCACCTGCCTGACGCAAAACCAATAGCCAGCCGGCATGTTGCGTCAGCCGCTGCTCTCTTGATTGTCTAGTAAGTGCCGTATCACTTTCTGCTCCGTTCTGATATTGGTGGTCGGAGGTTGTGGGGGATTTGCGGGGGAGGAGGTTTCGGCTGCCTTACTGACCCACGTTGCTGTAACACTACTTGGAAACTTACGCCAAACAATCAGCAGGCATGTCTACGTTTGTTGCTTGCGCGTGTATTTCGACGTCTCTCTTACGGCAGCCTCCCTCGATGTTATGTTACGGGTGTTTCTTGGTGTGTCATCTTCTCCCAGTTGTTTGCTACGTTACTCTGTGTCCACCAGGGCGGCTCTACTCTTCTGAGGCTCATTGCCCCTCTTGTCCTGCACGCGCCGTCAGCATAGTTCGTGTGACACATCGCTAAGTTGGTTCTTCTCGCGTGAACGCTACAGGCCGCGCGCATAGACGCCCAACGCAAAAAGGAGGAGGAGGAGGCGGAGGAGGGGGAGGAGGAGGAGGATGAAGAGGAGGAGGAGGAGGAGGAGGAGGGGGAGGAGGAGGAGGAGGAGGAGGAGGAGGAGGAGGAGGAGGAGGACGAGGAGGAGGAGGAGGCCTATCCCATCATCGCCCCCGCATCCTCCCCGGCCGCCCCCCCTCCACGCGGCCAGGGCGGCTGGGCGCTGGAGCCTCAGGGCCGCCGCTGGCCCCGAGGCCGGGCGCGGGCCGGGTCGGGCAGCTCGCGGGGCAGCCCGCGGGGCAGAGCTTCGGCCAGAGGACCGCGGGAGCCTTGGGGCGGGAGCGAGCGAGCGAGCGAGAAGCCGTACGCCATTCGGCGCGTAGGCAGTCGAAACCGTGTACTGCCAGGCCAAGAAGGTCAGTGTGCGGTGCGGCCGTCAAGCACAAACTTTGTTGCAAACTGACGCCACGTTCGTTCGTCTGCCATGCAATCCACCAGGGCAGAGTCGGAGCCCAAACTACTGCTGATCAAATTGTACAGACACTTTTCCCTTGGGGCGGGAGGTCCGTGGAAACGGGGGTCGGCCGGAGCACCCAGTCTTGCGGGATCTTGCAGCGCCCGGGGCGCACTGACGCGGGCCTGCTCGCAGGAGCATGCAGGATCCTGCAGGCTCCTGCAAGGCCTGACTGGCCTGGGCCAGTGCGTCCCCGAGAGGAGCTCCCGGCCACGAAGGGCGAGGACCCGGGTCTCCAGCGTCTCGAAAAAATGGGGGCGGAGTTGTTTCCTCGCGCTCGGCCTCTCGGGGCCCTTGCTGGGCTTCGGGGCCGTCAACAAGCGACGCGGGATGGAAAACCGGTCCTGGGGAAGGGTCGAGAGGTCGGGGGCCCATGTCCTGAACAAAATCGAGACGCCGGATGTCTGGGCAGAGAGGGGAATCGTCGTCGTCCTCCTCCTCCTCCTCCTCTTCCTCGTCCTCCTTCTCCTCCTCCTCCTCCTTCTCCCTTCCTCCTCCTCCTCGTCCTCCTCCTCCTCTCCCTCATCCTCCTCCTCCTCCTCCTTGGCTCGTCGATGATTGCGGATGGAGCTTTCTTGTGGACGCTCGGTCTCCTCCTCCTCCCTGGCCAGGTGCTGCAGAAAGGAGTGTGATTCCCATCAGTTGGGAACCGGATGGCTTTAACGCACAGGCATCAGCCAACCTTGCGGCCGGCCGCGGGGATGGCTTTTGGCGCCATCGTGACAGGTGTGGGACTGTGGAGGTGTGTGTGTGTGTCACCCCTGCCCTTAGGCCGTCTTCGTTGGCCGCGGGACCGTATGGAGCTCGGGGAAGGGAGGCGGGGCGGGAGGAGAGGGTCATGGATCGTGGCTCGAGGATCGAGGGAGAGAGGGAGGGAGGGAGGGAGGGAGAATGTAGGATCGAGGGTTGTCGTTATTACGAGGCTTTCGGGCGTTTTCTGGCTTGCAATGGCTCCTAGAGGCCTCCGAAGAGGGAAGGAGGCGGGAGGAGCAGGCGGGAGGATGAGGGAGGAGGAAGAGGGAGGAGGAGGGAGGCAGGGGGGAAAGGTGAGGCAGCGAGAGGATGGAGGAGGAGGAGGAGGGGGAGAGAGGAGAAGGGATGGAGGGAGGATGGAGGAGGAGGAGGAGGTGGAGGAGGAGGAGGTGGAGGAGGAGGAGGGAATCAAGAGGCGGAATGACAAGCAGGGCAGGGGGGAGGGAGGGTTTGGGGGAAGAGGATCGAGGTTTTCTCGTTTTCCTTCTTCCCGACCTTCCCGTGATGGATTCTCGATTTGAGTGGATCATTGTGGTCTCGACTCCGTGCTCCTCGTCCTCCTCCTCCTAACCTTCGCCTGCCCTCGGCCGCACATCTGGTGGCCAGTGGGGGGGCGCACTGCCATGCACTGGAGGCTGAGACCGTGTCGCCGCCCAGCCTGCCCTTCGCCGCGTCGGCGGGGTTGCCATTGGAGGCTGTGGGCGTTCTTAGCTCAAGCCCTGCCCCTGGGCCGCGCACTCGGTGACCGGTGGAGGGGCGCACTGTCATGCGTTGGAGGCCGCGTCGCCGCCCAGCTTGCCCTTCGCCGCATCGGCGGGGCTGTCTTTGGAGGCTGTGGGCGGCTCTGGCCCAAGCCTGGCCAGTGGTGCAGGTGGCCCGCATGCTTGGGCGGACCTGGTTGATTCCAGCCCTTGTGGGATTTGTTCCGATTCCGCGGCTTTGGATTTGGCGCTCTCGGAGGCTTCGGTGCCTTCGCTGTTTTTGTCCGAATTCACCCCTCGTGCTGCTCCCTTCGACCCGGGAGCAGGTTCAGCTGGAGAGTGGGGTGGCGCCCGTGGCTCTTCCCAGGCGAGTTTTGGTTTTCTGGCGTAGGTGCGAAATCTGCGCATGCTGCTCAACCCGCCACCTCCTGGTTGGAGGAGCGAGGCAGCTTGCAGTGTCCCTCTTGTGCTAATGCGCGCGGGCATCTTACTCCAGAGGATTGGGCCCTTTGGGAAGCCCAGCTACTCTAGGCCAGCGCTTCGGGTGATAAGGGCGCTTTCCACGTTCCGCCGACGCATCGGCGCGCAGACTGGCACTCGCGGCGCGAGGGGCTCGAGATAGTTCCTGGCGCTTGCGAGTGGGTCCTTGCGCCTTTTTTTCTGCTCATTTCCTGCCTGTCAATCTCTGCGGAAGTTTGCTTGTCAATTGCCCACAGCAAAAGAGTCCTCCTCTTTCCCTACTGCCTCCTCCTGCATCTTGCATATTCCCAACCCTTTCTTAGGTCAGGAACTCGTGTTGATTATAGCACTGTAGTCTCCATTGCGCTCCATCCTCCTTCCTCTTTTTTCTCCTCCTCCTCCTCTTACTCCTCGTCGTCCTCGTCCTCCTCCTCGTCCTCCTCCTCCTCCTCCTCCTCCTCATCTTCCTCCTCCTCCCCCTTCTCCTTCTTCTCCTCCTCCTCTTCCTCCTCCTCTTCCTCCTCCTCCTCCTCCTCCTCCTCCTCCTCCTCCTCGTCTCTCGAGACTTTCTGGGGGGCTGCCAGCTGCGCAACTGTCGCCACTTTCGTGGGCTCCTGGGAGGCCCACCGGAGTTTGGGAGGACGCAGACACAGCCGAGATCTCGCGGCTCCTTGGGGTGCTGCGAACTGCTGCTCAACGGCCGCCATTTTCGTGCATTCCGACCCTCCTGGGGGCGGTTGGCTGTTCCTTGAGGCAAGATGGTGTTTGACATTTATGTTTGCATACGCATACATATACAGATGCATCACCACATACACATACACATACACATGCACATTCATATGCATACACATTTATTTTCGTATGCAAATAAGTATACACATGCATATACAGTTACATTTGCATTCACATGTACATTTACATGTACACTTGCATTGACCTATACATATACATATACAAACACACGCATACATATTCGTGCACACATATAGGTATGTGTGCACAGACGCATGTACATACACACATGCGTACACACATACACACATGTATACACATGTGTATATACTTGTATCGGAGTTTTTCTTTCTTCAAAAAGATGGTGCTATCTTGGCGCCTTCGGTGGCCAACTCAGATGCTTGGAGACAGGCAGGGGGGCGTCGAGGTACCCAGGGGGCCTTGGGAGGGACTTGTGCGCGCATGCAAAGCAGCGCTGTTGCTACGTCCCCCGAGAAAATTGCGTCAGCCCAGCCACGCAGCCTCAGCAACACCCCGCTCCGCACGGCGCCAGAAGCCCGCGCTTTCGAGCTAGCCCCCCCCCCTTGCTCGCAGGATGCAGGCGGCGAAGAGGCAGCGGGAGGCCAGCCATCCTCCCTGGTCTGGGGAGTTGCCGCCTCTTGTGATGAGGGGGGGAGCAGGAGGACCAGCATGAGGAGCAGAAAGAGGAAATGCAGCAGCAACAGGAGGAGGAGGAGGAGGAGCAGCAGGGGGGAAGGGATGGCGTTGCAAGAGCAGCTTCAGGCAGTCGATGCCCATATGGGTTGCTTCGTACCCAGTGGCCGCCGCGGGCTGCAGGCCGTCCCTGTCGAGCGCCCTGTTGCCACTGGGGTGCTAGTCTTAAGTCGGGCATGTCCCTCTACAAGAGAAACTTCAAAAATGGTCAAACAATAGTCCGGGGACGATGTTTTCTTTTTTGGGGATTATTCCAGAATATTTTTTGATTTTGTATTTTTCTTCCAGCATCCGCCTGTAGGAGTACATGCCCGACCTGATGCTCGGCTTGGACCCCCCTCTCCCTTCCCCCTCCGCAGTGGGAAGAGGACCATGGGGAGCAGGAGGATCACTGCGAGCATCGCGAGGACGAAGAGCAGCGGCAGGAAGAACCTCACAAGGAGGATCAGGAGGAGGAGGAGGAGGAGGAGGAGCAACGCCAGAGTAAGCCCAATATGCACCAACGATGCTGCAGCACATCCTCCGGTCCCAAATCCCCTCTTCACAAGTCCCTACAAACCTTACTTGCCACTGCTACACGAAATGCCCCCTTGAGTGGTGCTAGTAATCGCACGAAAAGGAAGTAACTTGCCTGCGCAGCGGCCAATTTTTCAATGCTTGTGGAATCCAATATGTTGCTTCGATGCTCCAGCAACGATTGCAACACGGAGGCGCAGAACGACGACGACGACCAACACACTTTGTATTCAGATTGGGTCGCACCACGCCCGCCGCATGTTCAACGCTGCGGAGTGCTCGACGGAACCTGAACTGGTGTTTTTTATTTTATTGGATTGGGCTAAAGCGTTCGACAGAATAGCGTTCGACGCGATGATCAAATTCTTGGCGCTTCGCGTATGAGGCTCGCCAACGTTGCGGCCGTGTTCGCAAATTCGAATCGTGCCGCCTGCCCCAGACTTTGCCTCTCGCCGCCAGACCTTGGTCGCGCGGCCGCGAACGAAAAAGTATACCCACCAGCTCGCCCGTCGGCCTGGACACCCTGTTCGCCGCCTGCGCTCTTCGCTCGCGGCCGCGACCAAAAAAGTATACCCACCAGCGTGGGCATCAGCTCGCTTACGTTCTCGCCTTCACAGAGTGGTCCACGCCGCAGGGCGTACATCGAATTCCCTGGCATTTTGCTCAGGCTGCACGATGTCTGAGCTTCCCTGGGTGCCCTCAGCCAGTCAGCCCTCGCCTCGCAGCCCTGCAGCCGCCTTGTGAGCTGGCCCGGCCGGCCCGTTCCGCGCCCTGCAGCTAATTAGGTCTGTTTCCGTGCCCCGGGCAGCTTCTGTCTCCGCCTGCGCTTTCGCTTGTGGACGTGACCGAAAAGAAGTATACCCACCAGCCGACCAGGCAGGACTACGCCGTCGACGCGGCCCTGGCCCTTGGCGCCTTCTGGCGACATGACCAGTGTTTACCTGGCCTTTTCTCGCTACAGTGTTTGTGCGGATTCTGCGTGAAGGCCACTCTTTGTCTGTCTCGACATGGCACCTACACCGTGGTGGACTGGCGCCGCGGCGCACAGTTGGGAATGCCGTGGCACTTTGCCACAGGTCTGCATGATGCTCGAGCTTCCCTGGGCGTTGCAGTTCAGCCAGTCAGCCCCCCGCCGCCGCTGCCGCAGTTGCTGCCTCTGAGGGCTTTCCCGGCCGGCTCGCGCTGCGCCTTGCAGCTGATTGGGCGTGCCTGTTGGTCCGGACACCCTGCTCGCCGCCTGCGCTTTCGCTCGCGGTCGCGACCAAAACAGTATACCCACCAGCCCATTCAGAAACAATTGCCAGGGGATTTGCTCGAATTGAGCAGCCACGCAGTGGCACGGTTGCTTTGGAAGCGTTCGGGGGTGGCAGAAGCGGTGGGAACATTAGCTGGATGATTGAACGCACGTTCCCACGCCGCGCTGTGCGTTATAGGGGCGTTCTTGGGTTTATTTTTGGACCCTCTACCCTCTCGGGGCTAGACGGGTGCAGTGGAGCAGCCGCGTTGGAAGCGTCTCTGAGTCGCAGCGGCGAGATCATATGAAACACTTAAGACATGTTCCGCGAACGCGGCGGCTTCATGAGGGGGGGCGAGTGCAAGCGAAGCAAGGCGCCCATTATTTCATCAGGGAGGGGCAGGAATGCAAGGCCAAACAGTTGCCCTGGAGGAGCAGTGGGAAATTGAACACATCCATAATGATGTTCTGGCACGTTGACATGGTGAAGGCTGTATCTGCACACCCATGAAGGGTAGAGGACACATCTAGAGGACATATGTTGAGTCTGGTAGGCAGACCTATAGCGGGCAGGTCGGGAAGGCGGGCCCAGGCGACGAAGTCGAGAAGGCGGGTTGCTGAAGCGTGGGTCCTGCATGAATCGCGAGGAAGTCTCGAGCGAGAGCGCCGTTCCTGAGTTCGGGGGCGCAGATGCTCCCATGCCGCGGCGGTTAGCTTGTGCCGCGGAGGGCGTTTTGTCAGTGTGATCCTTTCCAGCAGGGCGTGGCTCTTGGCTCTTCGGTTGTGGGCAGCCCGTGGGTCCCCCGAACACAGCCATCGCGGGAGCAGGGGGGATAACAAGAGGAGGAATAGGAGGAGGAGGAAAAGGAGGAGGAGGAGGAAGAGGAGGAGGAGGAGAAGGAGGAGGAGGAGGAGGAGGAGGAGGAGGATGCCATGACAGAGCTGGAGGATTCTGCTGAGGATGCGGGGGGGGGGGCGAGCAGAGGGATGGTGACGAGTAGGGAGAAACAGTGAGGAAGAACACGGGCGAGGGACAGGGCCTTGGAACAGCGGGGAGGAGGGGAAGCATAGAGAAGGAGGCACGCGGTGAACATGGAGAGGAGAGATGAGGCAGGAAGGAGAGAAAGAAGGGACCCATAAAGGAATGTACGTAGAAGCATGCAGTGATGCAGCCGCGTTGGAAGCGTTTCGGGGTCGCAGAAACGGCGGGAACACTTGTCGAACCAATGAATAACATGTGCCCCTAACGCGAGGGTCTCATGAGGGTCTTCAGGAAAAACACACACAAACACACACAAACAACACACAAACACGTGTGTGTGTGTTTTTGGTGTGTGTGTGTATGTCTGTGTCTGTGTCTGTGTGTGTGTGTGTGTGTTTTTGTGTGTGTGTGTGTGTTGTGTGTGTGTGTGTGTGCTTTTGTGTGTGTGTGTGTGTGTTTTGGGGGCCCTCTTGGAGTTACCTTGGTGCTCTCTTGGGGTCCCCGCGGGGCCCCTCGAGGCACTCCTCGGGCCCGCAGGGGGCTTTTCTTTTTTCCGGGGTCTGGGGCTCTCTTGGGGATCTTGGGGGGGGGGGTCTGGGAGGCCTCTTGGGGCTGTCGTTGCCCCCGTGGCTAACAACGAGGGGGCCGGAATTTCAGCCCCCCTCCCCTCAGAGACTCGAGCATTGCGTCTTGGGTTCCTCTTGAGTCGGTCTTGGGGGCTCTTGGGGCCCTCTGGGGGCGCGTTGGGCCCTTCTCGGGGCCCTCTGCGGCCGTCTTGGGGCCACCTCGAGGCCTCCGAGGCCCATCGGAAGCGAAGGGCGACAACGCAAACAATATGGATTCTGCTCAGGTTTTGGATCTATTGTGGCATCTGGGGAGGTCTTTGGAGGGCTCGAAGGGCACTTCGAACCGTCTTGTGGCCGTCTTGAGGCCTCTTGGATTTGTGTCGGAGGCTGTATCGACCCATTTTGAGCTATCTTGAGCAATCTTGGAGGGCAGCTTGCGCTTGCAGAAGCCGTCTTGGAGCCGTCTTAGGCCGTCTTGGATGCTCTAACCCCTCAGGGCCCCCCTCCCCTCCCAGTCCCGGTGGAGGGGGTGGGGGAAGGCCCCCCCCCTCCCGAGCAAGAGATGGAGGGGCTGTGGCAAGAGAGAAGGCAAGAGCTCGTTAAACCGCCTACGCCCAGAGGGCTGGTGGGATTCTTGGCGCGGCTTAGTTCTCCAGAGTCCTTGTTCGCATCTGTTGATACAAGCTTTAGAACCCGTAATAGTCGAAAAACATTGTCTGCGATTCCCGTATCAGGCACCAGCGAGCAGGAATAGCCCTCACTCTGTTCATATTTGTTCATGATTGTCCAAACGGTGATGTTTTCGATGCCGGCAAATTTACAGCGAGTTGGGCACTGTTTCGTAGAGCCGGGGTGCATGTAGGGAAACTCAGCAAGGTACATAGACTCCATATTTCGATTAAGAAAATCAAGAATCTTGACTGGATCCTGGGCGTTTTCTTGGAGCTTCCTTCTTGTTCGTGGCGCTTTTGCCTATTTGGACCTGGGCGATTGCTTCGGAAAACGCTTGGAGTGGTGTCCACTCTCTTAGGCGAAAGTTCTTTCAACTCGTAGCGGGGATGGGCGTTCCTTTTCCGCTTCGCTCCTGCCGTCTCGTCCTCCCCCCCCTGCCGCATCTGGAGAGCGGTGCGCGCGAGTGCCGCGGCTCATGCCAGGCGGACGAGATGGCAGATTTCGTCGTGGGCGGGAACGGCCACGAGGACGACAGCGATTACGGCGGTGGCGCCACGGAGGACTGCATTTTTCGTTTCATGGTCTTTGCTAGCGTGGACTCCCGCCGTGGATTCTTGTATCCTCAACGTGCTGTATTTGTGGTGCAATCCGTCTACTGTGCAAACGGAATTATGCAAGATCCAGTCACACACATACACACACACATTTTTGTTATATATATATATATATACATCGATATATATGTCTATATATATATATATAGATATAATACACATGCTAGCTAGCATGGACCCCAAACCGTGTCTCCTAGCATGCTCGGTGGCGCAATCTACGTGGTGCAGTCTACGTGGTGCCAACCTATGTGTTGCAATCTACGGGGGGCAATCTCTGTGGTGCAATGTGGTGCAATATACTTGGTGCAATCTACGCGGTGCAAACTACGTGGTGCACTACATGTGGTGTAACGTGTTGCAATATATTTGAGCAGTCAATGTCGTGCAATACAGGTGGTGCAATTTATTTGGCGCAATTGATTTTAACAAACGAGTTGACACATCCCATGCTCTTGCAAACATCCCACCCACTCACCCGAAACTTGGTTTGCAAAACCATGCGATGGCGATTGCGATGCATGCTTGGCGTTGGCTGGTACATCTCTGCGGCCGCGCCACCCTTAGCACTCGCGCGCAGCGGCCAGCTAGTTTGGCGCCGCCAGCGCGGCCGCGGTGGCGCTGACCGCTGGGCGTATCCCAGGGGCACTCCACCTGCGAGTCGGCGAGTTGGGCCGGCGCGGTATCAGGGCAACGCCGACAACGGTAGACACGATGGTGATAGTAACGATGCTGGTGACGATGTTCGCACTGACGAAGGCGCGGCCAGTGCGGTCGCCGATGCTGATCACGCCGGCGACGATGACGGCGTCCTCGAAGGTTTTGGAAAGAGGTCGAAATGTGCATGCGGCCGACGCGTAAAAGTGGCCCGCGTGTTTTTTGACACGGATCGTGCCCCCCCAGCATGTGCGCAAGGGCGTGCGAATGATGTCGGCATGGGGCGCCAGAGGCCCGCTTGGCAGAATTTCATGAGCGTGTTGAGAAACCTGTTTCTTAAGTGTTCGCAAGAGCGCGCGCGCAAGTTTTTTTCCCCACATCCTAAGTGGGGTTCTTGTTTTCTCTGCACACCCTCTGCGCAGAATCTCCTCCTCCTCCCTCTGCTCTGCTTCTCTTTGCTTCCTCCTCCGCATCATCATCACCATCACCATCACTCCCCACTCATCATCATAATCGTCATCATCATCATCACCATCAGCATCACCATCACCATCCCGCGATCACTCACCATCATCGGCATCGAACGATCATCATCATCATCATCATCATCATCATCATCATCATCATCATCATCATCACTACTCGCTGACTTGAGGCCTGAATATGGAGGAAGTCTCGAGCGGGAGCCTCGTCTGTGAGTGAATTGCGAGGAAGTCTCAGGCGGGAGCCCCCTCCCTATGGGGCCCGCACTTCATGTTTGAATCCGAGCGGGTCATCCGCAACGTGCAACTGTCGTCACTTTTGGGCTCTTGAGACTTGAATATGGAGGAAGTCTCGAGCGGGAGCCCCGTCTGTGAGTGAATTGTGAGGAAGTCTCAGGCGGGAGCCCCCTCCGTATGGGGCCCGCACTTCATGTTTGAATCCGATCGGGTCATCCGCAACGTGCAACTGTCGTCACTTTTGGGCTGTTGAGGCTTGAATATGGAGGAAGTCTCGAGCGGGAGCCTCGTCTGTGAGTGAATTGCGAGGAAGTCTCAGGCGGGAACCCCCTCCCTATGGGGCCCGCACTTCATGTTTGAATCCGTGCGGGTCATCCGCAACGTGCAACTGTCGTCAGTTTTGGGCTCTTGAGACTTGAATATGGAGGAAGTCTCGAGCGGGAGCCTCGTCTGTGAGTGAATTGTAAGGAAGTCTCAGGCGGGAGCCCCCTCCCTATGGGGCCCGCACTTCATGTTTGAATCCGAGCGGGTCATCCGCAACGTGCAACTGTCGTCACTTTTGGGCTCTTGAGATATGAGTATGGAGGGAGTCTCGAGCGGGAGCCTCGTCTGTGAGTGAATTGCGAGGAAGTCTCAGGCGGGAATCCCCTCCCTATGGGGCCCGCACTTCATGTTCGAATCCGAGCGGGTCATCCGCAACGTGCAACTGTCGTCACTTTTGGGCTCTTGAGATATGAATATGGGGGAAGTCTCGAGCGGGAGCTTCGTCTGTGAGTGAATTGTGAGGAAGTCTCAGGCGGGAGCCCCCTCCCTATGGGGCCCGCACTTCATGTTTGAATCAGAGCGGGCCATCCGCAACGTGCAACTGTCGTCACTTCTGGGCTCTTGGGATTTGAATATGGAGGAAGTCTCGAGCGGGAGCCTCGTCTGTGAGTGAATTGCGAGGAAGTCTCAGGCGGGAGCACCCTCACTATGGGGCCCGCACTTCATGTTTGAATCCGAGCGGGTCATCTGCAACGTGCAACTGTCGTCACTTTTGGGCTCTTGAGATTTGAATATGGAGGAAGTCTCGAGCGGGAGTTTCGTTTGTGAGTGAATTGTGGGGAAGTCTCAGGCGGGAGCCCCCTCCCTATGGGGCCCGCGCTTCATGTTTGAATCCGAGCGGGTCATCCGCAACGTGCAACTGTCGTCACTTTTGGGCTCTTGAGATATGAATATGGAGGAAGTCTCGAGCGGGAGCCTCGTCTGTGAGTGGATTGCGAGGAAGTCTCAGGCGGGAACCCCCGCCCTATGGGGCCCGCACTTCATGTTTGAATCCGAGCGGGTCATCCGCAACGTGCAACTATCGTCACTTTTGGGCTCTTGAGATTTGAATATGGAGGAAGTCTCGAGCGGGAGCTTCGTTTGTGAGTGAATTGCGAGGAAGTCTCAGGCGGGAGCCCCCTCCCTATGGGGCCCGCGCTTCATGTTTGAATCCGAGCGGGTCGTCCGCAACGTGCGACTGTCGTCACTATTGGGCTGTTGAGGCCTGAATATGGAGGAAGTATCAGGCGGGAGCCTCGTCTGTGAGTGAATTGTGAGGAAGTCTCAGGCGGGAACCCCGTCCCTATGGGGCCCGCACTTCATGTTCGAATCCGAGCGGGTCATCCGCAACGTGCAACTGTCGTCACTTTTGGGTCCTTGAGACTTGAATATGGAGGAAGTCTCGAGCGGGAGCCTCGTCTGTGAGTGAATTGTGAGGAAGTCTCAGGCGGGAGCCCCCTCCCTATAGGGCCCTCACTTCATGTTTGAATCCGAGCGGGTCATCTGCAACGTGCAACTGTCGTCACTTGTGGGCTCTTGAGATATGAAAATGGAGGAAGTCTCGAGCGGGAGCCTCGTCTGTGAGTGAATTGTGAGGAAGTCTCAGGCGGGATCCCCAGGAGGAAGAGGAAAGGGCAAAGGGTAAGCTAAACAGATTCTCGTGTGGGGTCCTACCGTCGTTTTTTTTTTTTTTTTTTTTTTTTTTGTTGTTTTGTTTTTTTGTCTGTTTTGGTTTTGAAAACTGATGTTGCGAAACCATGTGGTTTTGAAGGTGTTTTGGACATTCAGTTTTGAAATCATGTCGGAACCAACAATTGTTGAAGGATTTTGGCATGCGCGCGCACGCGCGCAAAGGGCGTCCGAACGATTTCGACATGCGCGCGCGCGATACCCGTTTGGTAATACTTGTCGGGAAGAGGTTGAAACGACCTACGGTTTTCGTGAGAATTCGCGAGAGCGCGCGCGCAGGTTTTTTTGTGATTTAAAATCCGTGCTGCGAAACCATCTGTTTCGAATTGTGTTTTTGGACATTCGGTTTTGAAATCGCTGCGAAACCGATTTTTTTTGAAGGATTTCGGCATGCGCGCGCGACGACGCGCGCGTGTGGATCTCGTCCCGTTTTTCGCAAAATATTCATTCTTGAAAACTGATGGTTTTGATGAGCGGGTGTGCGCGCATAGTCTTTCTGCTGAGGATGACGGGGGGGGCGAAAACCGGTTGGGCTGGCATGGTACGCGTTCTTATTTTGGATGGGCCATGGGGCAGATTTGTATGTAAATCGCAATACGGAAAGGGGGTACCGATAATCCCAGGGGGGGGGGGGTAGAGTCTTTTTTTTCAGAAGGGAGAACCTACGTTGTGCAAGAAGTGTGCCAAGCAGTGTGTTGCGATGTATGTAGTGTGATCTATATGGTGCATCATACGTGGTGCAATCTAGGTGGTGCAACCAATCACTTGCCGAACTTGAAGTTGTCAACTTACTGCTCGCGCAATCATCCCACCCACCCACCCGCAAGTTGGTTTGCAAAACCCATGCGGGATCGAGCACCGATGTCGCTCTGGGGTCGTCTTGGAGCCCTCGGGGGCGTCTCAAAAACGCCCCAAGAAGGCCAGAGAAGCAAGACGGCCGACGACGACGACCACGACGACGACGTCGACGGCGGCGACGACGACGATGCCGACGTCGATGACGACGAAGACGACGACGCCGACGCCGACGATGACGACGAAGACGACGACGACGTCGCCAACGAAGACGACGACGAGGGAGGAGGGAGGACGACGACGGCGACAACGACGACACCGACGACAACGACGACAACAAGGGAGAAGGGAGGACGGCGACGACGCGAACGACGAAAAAGGAGGAAGGACGACGACGCCGACGACGACAACGACGAGGGAGGAGGCAAGACGACGACGAGACGACGACGACAACGACGACGACGACGGCGACGAAATAGGAGGGACGACGACGAGACGCCGACGACGGACGACGACGACGACGACGACGTGGGAGGAGGAGGAAGGACGACCACGGCGACAACGACGACGGAAACGATCACGACGCCAAAGAGGACGACGACGAAGAACACGAGGAAAGACACAGGACGACGTAGGCGACGACGACGACGACGACGCCGCAAGAGCGCGCGCGCACGTTTTTGTTGAAAATCTGTATTGCGAAACCTCGTGTTTTTGTAAGTTTTTTGGACGCGCGATTTTGAAATCCTTCCGAAACCGATGGGTTTTAAAGGATTTCGGCGTACG